TAAATCAGAAGTAAATGATATAATATTATTAAAAGTTTTTAAACATTCAATAGCAATTTGTTTTCTATTGTTATATAATTTTATGGTATCTGAATGAAGAGTATTTCTACAATAAGAAGTATACTTGTGTTGAACATAATTCTGTACAAGACAAGTAAAGTGTATTTACTCAATCATCGTAAGCGACATATCTGCTGCAGCCACGTATGCAATCATTCCTTCACGAAATCTTTCCATTGAATATACGAAAGTGAAAAGAGTAGAACCAAAACTGTCAAACACTAGTTCGGTCTATTTCGGTTCGAGACCGATTGGTTTCATTTTGCAACTCCTTAGTACGTGTCTATTCAAATGCGTTGTGCTTAAACTAGGCTTCGAACTAAGTTCTTTACCACAATAATTGCAACAGGCTTTCCAAATATCAACTCCATTTTGAACACCAACTTTTTCACGAGTCATATGTTGCCAACAATTCGCAGATTCTTTTTTCGACCTTTTAACTTCAAGTACTTCCAAATCAATTGGAACATTTTAAGATTCATTATAGTCTGATGGAGTACTCGAACTACCCTTAAACTGATTAATCACATCATTAGTAAAATTTATTTGTAGCTATTATAGTAAAGAATATTGAATATTAGAGTAAAAGAAACTAAATAAGACCGAGTAAAGAAATTAGAGATAAAAATTGAAACTAGAACTGAACTAAATGTCTAAATTGAATATTAGAGTAAAGAAATAGAGTAAAGAAATTGGAGACTAGAATACTGAATATTGAATAACGAAATTGGGGATATATTGAAGTAAATTGATATGAAATTATAAAAAAATTTCGCGTATAGCCAAAAAATATATCCATTTTCACTATATTTGAATTTCAAATTCAAATTTTGAAAATTTTTACCATCGAATTGTACTTTTGACTAGAGACAACTACGTGCGGGCAATTGTCAACTGGCTACAACGTGCATGTCAGCTGTATTTTATTTAATTTTTTTTCCCTCTCTTCCTGCTGTTTTCGATTTTTTTTCGGCTCATACGGGCAGGCCCAGGATCGAGCCACGCCCTAAAATGGGGCTCAGTCTGAGCCTCGGCTTGGTTCCACTGAGCCACGAGCCGGCCTGGCTCGCTCGGGCTTTTTTCGAGCCGAGTCTTTGAGCCATTCTACCATCCCTATGGGCAAATGATAATTTAACGAAGATTTTGGTAATTTCGGATATTGAGAACTACAGCTACTTGTAGAACTGCAATAAAAGATTGAAACCAACTTGCCCCTTTTTAAACGTTTGCATACCAAATTAATACTGGAACAATAGGTTTGAACCAAATACATGCATGATGTTAAGTGCATACTGTATTTTAAATAAATACTTTGTTTGTCATAGTAAAAATAGCAAAGTTGAGTTGCAGTTAAATAAGCAACTTTTTTGCTTATAACTAAAATAATATTCTTGAAAATGATAATTTACTTTAAAAATAATTTTAATTTCTTTTAAGCTTAGTCAAAGCTGCCTAATACAACTCAATTATTTGGCTCAAACTTTATCTCATGAATGTTGATTATATGTTAGACTCCGATATTTATAATTACTAAAAACGTTAGTAAAGAGAGTTCGTATTTTTAAATATTTGTAAGAAACTTTAAACGAACATGAAAATTTTGAGTAAATTGTTAGCATTACTTTTAATAGTTCTTTTACCAACAATCTATAGGGAGTGATGTGTTTACGAAAACTTGTTAAAACCTCGTTATGATGTTAAATTTGTGAACTAAAAGTAAAAAAATAGAAGAACAAAACATTATTTATTTTTAATTTTTAATAATTTTCCTTGCTAGAATGATTGTGTTGATATTGATGTGTGTCCTAAAACATCTTCTTAAGGTAAAAGTTCATCATAGTCTATAATGAACGATTTCAACAATCTCGGAGTAAAAATAAATAATAATTAGTAAAATCATGGAAACCATAAAGTTAAAAAGTTCTGGTAAATATTGGTACAATTGATAGCTTAGCATGTGTCAATTTAGCCCTTCTTTGCCTCTTGTTTATAATCTATTTACAATCGATCAAATTATTTATTATCTTTATATTTTATGGAACCCATAAGTATCGATTATTTATTCGTCACTCATTTCTATATATTTGTAATTGAAAACGATTATAAGCAACTCCACTCTCAAAATCAATTATTGCTAAATAAAAATCAAATTATTTTTTATTCGACTCACAAGTATTATCCATTTATTCATCATTCATCTTTATTATAAACACGATGTGCCCCCGGGCACATCTCCAAGTGGTAAAAGGAGAAGGTGGAAAAACTCCAGCTTTGCTTGAGGCTGTCGTGTCAAGAGTTCGAATCCTGAAATATGAATTTGGTCATTGGGTAAGTACAAATATACAAGCAGCCTTCCACCCTGTACCCTTGGAGGCATAACCTGCGATTTACCACATTCACCAAGGCCCAGGGCAGGGTAGGGCAGGTGAGAGCCGTCAAAGATGCGGTTCATAATTTTTTTTTATTTTTATAAACATGATGTTTATAAAAACTTGTTGAACCTTTTAGTTCAAACGTACCAGACGAAGACTTGATATCGAAAAAGTGATGCTAGATATTTGAATTAGCCATGGTCAATGGACAATATCTAGCATGAATTTGCACGAGATCAATGGACAAATCATGAGACGAAATAGTAATTAACGATGATCGATGGACAATTCGCACGACTTACCAACTCACGTCAAAGAAAGGGAAAGACCAGAAGTTTGTCTTCACTAATTCTGCCTTCAACGTCGGAGAATCTTCATCAAAAGAAAACCCAACACCTCATTTGAGGTTGGTTTTGGTCACAGATCATGAATCTAATAACAGAAAATCCAGTAGAAGGCCAAAACTAGCATAAGTAACTTCTTGCACATGCTACATAATAGAAACTTAAAGAACTTCTTGCAGAAGTAACTTCTTTTAGGACAAAAATACAGAGTTTTGCAAACTTAATTAAATAGAAAAATTAGTATCTGTCTCCATTATGATGCACCTTCTTGATTTGCCTGTTCACTGTGTGCAACCAACCAATTCCTTTAATGGCTTTGGAAATATTCCTAACAACATTAGGCCTTCCTATTCCCAAATTCATCTTCCCTGCTGAGAATTTGAGGGCTTGTAAGCAACACAATTTCCCATCAATTTCTTCCTCGTTATCATTCTCTTGGACATCGATTACACTTTTCTTGTTCTTGATATTGATCTTCTTTTTCACGTTGTTTCTGAGCTTTGATTTGTCTAAATCCATCTCATAGGTCTCCCACAACGAGTCCATCCCTTCTCCATCTACGTTGCGTCTCTCTTCAAATAACTTGCATGCCAATGTCCTGTTCCACTCTTTTTCCTTTCTCATTGACCCATAAGTCCCGAGGTTTCGGGCTGAAAAGTTCTCGGAACTTTTGACTTTCCAAGTGTATTCTCCAACATTATCAGTTGCCTCGGATCCATTTCTCGTCAAAGAAATCTCGACGGATTCGTCGGCTTTCGTGCCCGATGTCGGCTCAACTTTCTTGCCTTCCACATTACAAGTCATGATTGCAAACTCATCTAGTACTTTTAGAAAATCCCCTAGTTTTTTTTCCTCCACTTTTTCACCCAAATCCATATGAACTGAATTTTCTTCTAAATTACCTGTCAAAGCCTCAGATTTGCTGATACTGCTGGAATCTTTATGGCTAGAATTCACTTCTGATTTTTCATCCAAGACTTCAACAGGGATTCCTTTCACCTCGAATTCTGACTCCCCAAACACGATTTTATACACTTCAAGATCCTCCATGCACTGAAATTCTTCATGTTCATCATCATCTTTAGAAGAAGATTCAATAGCAATTTTTTTATAAAAGCTGGGAATCAGGGTGAGGAGAGAGAGTGAAAGAAGAAAAGTTGTGATGAAGAGAGGAGATAGAAAAGAAATGAGTTTCAGAAGGTAAGGAGATAAGAAAATTAAGTATGAGAAATATAGAGGATGAGAGAATATGAAGGAACCAAATGAGATCATCAAGTCAGAGATGAAAAGACTAGAAAAATGGGTCTTCAATGTGCTTGAAAAACACAACTCAGACATTTTTCTAGAGAGAGAGAGAGAGAGGAATTGAAAATGGATGATGGTGAAGAAATGGGGAAGAAGAGGATGGATTCTTGTTAGAGGGAGTGAATGCGGCTTGAATTAAGGGAGGAAAAACTTTATTGAAGGTTACCCCACTTATAGGTTTATGTCTATTGATCACTTGACTTTAATTTATTTTGTTTTGATCACCTAAAATACAATTTTATTAGTTTGACTATTCCTAGGTAACCATGACCAAATCCAACTTCGGGTACTTTCATGGCCCTATCCAACTCATCTAGAAAATAAATGAATAAGACGAGGGTGAAAAAAATATTGATGACATGTCCTTAATTTTGGCACAAACGCCTTGATCACCTTAAGAAACAAACAATTTAATACACAAGTCTCTAATAGTTCAAACAAGCTACTCTCATGTGGCTAATGTTATGTGTAACTTGACGCTAAGTCACGCCAATAACAAAACTCATATTTTTTCAGAAGCTACAAAAATTCATATTAGTGATTTAAGAACTTAAATTCATCTTCATGCTATCTTTTTTTTCATTTGGGCAAACTAATTGTCGATTTAGTGTCAAATCGTGCATTTCATTGGCAATGTCCATGTGGAATTAGTCGCTTGGTTACTGCTACAATGGTTCGACTGAAATAAAAGCATTATCGGATGATTAATTTTGAACAACAATCAAAATTACATGACTGATATAAAACAAACTTAGGGAATTTGTAAGGATTTCAATAATAATGGTGGGAGAAAAAAAAGAATATACATGTATATAAGTAGAAGTTTTGCGTTAGCAAATCTAGTTGAGATGTAGAGATGCCAAAATGAACTGGCTTGGTTCGTTTTTATTAAAGTTAGGATCATCTCAAGTTTGAGACATTTCACATACAAGCCAAGTTGGTACATGTCCGCCCACTTTGACACCACTAAACTGATGGTCATGTGATAAGTGTATTTTATAAGTTTATCCATACTTTTAAATTTGATTTATATATTGAGCGGATTTCTATTTAATATAGTGAAAATGTTAACAATGAAGTAAAACTCGGACTTTGTGGTACTTGGAGCAAAAATGAAGATTTTGGACCTAAATTGAGTTGGTTCACATAAATTAAAAACTAACCAAATTGACACGAGATTGATACGAAGTATTAAGAGGGCAATTAGAAGAAAGTCACAAATTTTGGGAGTAAAATTCAACTTATGGAAAGTTTGAGACTGATTTGCACACTTTCGGGACATGAGGAGGATTAATTGTGGATGATTATGGAGGTTCAGGGACCAACATGAGTGCTTTTAAAAGTTATGGGATCAATGTTGAAGATTTGGATAAAATGATCAAAATTGTATTAAAAAAACTTGAAATAGGGACCAAAGTATAATTTCAACTCTGACATCAAACGTTGGACGGTCTGTCCACAGTCCAAAGAATCGAATGTTTGCCGCGATCAGCCCAATGTGAAGGATTTGACTGTGGTGTGCAAACCGCAAGTTAGCCTTGAAATTTTATGGTTTTTACATGTTCAATTTGGGATTATTTTTGTTCTTTTTGGGCACGACTTTAAAGGCAGTTCGAGTGCTATGTAAAGACATATTTAGGTCAAATAGAAGGGTTACACATTACACACGAGATGATAAGTGAAAAAAAAAAAAAAGATAGAAGATAATAGAGAAAGAAGAAGCTCGGATTTCAAGACCTTGACATGAAAAAAGCGGATTTTTGGTGCAAGAAATTCATATTTTTCTCTTTTCCTTTAAACTCATTGATGTATTCGAGATCATTTTTGTGTCTTTCTTCTATTTTGATGTGTAACTAAACCATTAGTTGAGGAGAACGATTTTGTTGTACATATATCAAACTTGTTAAGCATTAATTTGACTTGGATTAATAGATTTGCAGGACATGCTTTTGGATGATATGCCCTTTTAGGCATCCTATTCTCATTTACCAGCTTTTTAGGATTAAACAAATTATAGCTGGTCACTCAACTCCCTCTATTATTATTACCATCAATCATTTGATCATTATGTACCAATTCTGTATTATAAAATAACATATTTATAATATAATATATTAAATATCACATCAAGTGAGAATCATTTTTTGACGATTATAATCATATTACAATTCAATTATTTCAATAATACTTGACGTTTCATTTTTCAATAATTATTTAATTTACAAACTGTAATAAATACTATAAAATCCTTATTTCATTGTAATTAATTCTCAATTAATTAACATTCACGGTTCATTCTATTAATATTAATTAGAATTTTACATTCAGATTCATGTCCACGTTCTCGTTATTGATTCTCAATTAATTTACATTCACATTCATTTAATTAATATTAGTTAGAATTTCACATTCAAGAATGAAATTCGTTATTCACATTCATGCATTATAATTACCATCAAGTTTCACTCAATTGAAAATTAAATTTTATTCATTTAATATAAATGATTTAACGTTCATTGTCACGTATATATTCTTTTTTTATTAATTCTAAATTAATTAACATTCGCGTTAATTTATATATCGTATTTGCTATTCATCTTCATTTATACGTTTAGTTTAATTTTAATACTCAAGTTCAATTATGCATTTCACTATTTACGTGCGTGTTTAATAATTAACATTTATTTTCAAGAACTGACATTTAGCTCATATTTAAATCAAAATGGTAAATGAATGGTCAAATATTTATTTCACAACACTTATAAAGCATATAAGAATAATGTGTAACGCACGTTCAACTTTGACTAGTAGACACAAATTTGACTAATCCACATGTTTTACATAGTATCATATGTACCTACTTTGTCATATTTAGGACTCATTTGATAGAACTTTTACTTTTGCTTTTTATGAAAGAGCTTATTGAAAAAACTACTTTAATTAATAGATTTCTCTTCCGAAAGAACTTTTAGAGAAAATCACATTAAATCAATTTTCTCTAAAAAAATTTCTAACTAGAAGAAATATTTGTATATAATTAATGAACATATTTAAAAGCAACTTTTGGATCCGAAAAGCTCATTGTGTCAAATGAAATCAACTAGGAACAGATTCAAGACTTGACTACAAATCGAGCTAGTATGTAAATAAAATAAAATTTACACATAATTCCTTCTTTACATATTTTTTTTTACACTAAAAAAAATGAAATTGGTTGGGGATTGGACCGGATCCCCCTACATCCGTCAGTGAAGTCAATTCGAGATGGCCCGACCAGTAAAAAGCTCAGTTAGTTAACCAGTAAAAAGCTCAGTTAGTTAATGGCGTTGTCCATCACTGACCTATCTTTGACAAGTTCGTTCAATCTGACCTAATTAACATCGTTATCACGTACCAAATATGAGAGATTATTGATATCATTTAAGTGTAGGAATCTTTTAATAACAGAAAGTAGGAAGTGAATTCTAAAGGATGGAAGGGGACTTAATTTCACATGGGAAACCACTCATTGCTACTCAATTACATCCATGCATTAGCCCCTTTACCCCCCCAACCTTTTCTTATGAGAGGGACCAAGTGTCTTGTGTTACCATTTTAATTATAATTAAAGAAAACTGGCTTTGATTTTCTTCTCTCAAGTCAAAAAAGTTTTGTATCAGAAAAGTTAAAAGCATCATTTCTGTCGAGAAATAACTGTTCTCATATTAGTGTTAGTTGCAAAAAGCACCATACAGCATAAGATTTTTGTGCTTAATTTGTTTAGTTAATTTTGACTGATAACCTAACTTTTAAATCCTGATTGAGCACATCCTTGAGTAAAAATAGGTTTGTGAATAGAGATTTTTTTATTTTTATTTTTTATTTTTTTTAAAGAATGTGTGGTTAAAAATAGGGAAATTTTTTGAGTTATGTGTAAAATTATTTTATCGGATAATGTAGGGATGGACAAAACTCCCGAACCGAACCGAACCCGAACAGAACCGAATCGAGTCGAGCGGTTCTTCTTAAGTTAAATGCCCGAATGGGTATTTGAATCGAGAACCGACGAGTTCGGTTCGGTTCGGTTCTAGACTAAGAACCGAAAAATCGAATAAGAACCGAATCTCTCTAATTTTTATAATTTTTTATTTTAAATAAGTCAAATTGTTTTA